CTCCGGATGTTGGAAGTGCTTACTGCCCCGGGTGGCTCAGGGGTCTCTGCCAGGCTGGTAAATCTGAAATCCCTCATTCATTCAGGGCTGGAAAGTGCTTTAGTCCTGAATGAAGCATCAGAAGAGATTTTTACACCTGGGTTTTTATAGCTTGATCTTAGCAGAGGAAAGGAATAACTCTGGGTTTCCATTTGAAATGACCTCAGGAACAGCTTGTCACAGCTAAGCTGTTTGGTTTAGTTATTCCTTTGGCGGCTCACTTTGGCTTTGTTTGATTTAAAAAATCACAACTGGTGGTAGCCACTATCCCTTCTTTCCCTGAATCCACTGAGAGATGTAACTCTGAACTCTGCTCTCCTCATTTCCTTTCCCTTTCCTGTGAGGGCTCTGCCTCTCCTCTGCTGTTCTCCCAGAACTGCCTGACATTGGTAATTGTCCTCCAGCCCTGCCAGCACGTGTGTTCCTGTGTTTGTGTGTGTTCCTGTGTGTATTCATGTGTGTTTGTATGTGTTCCTGTGTGTATTCATGTGTGTTTGTGTGTGCTCACACATCCCAGGGAGCTGCATGGCCACGTCCTGCAGCCCTTGGCACAAGGGACACACAGCCGACCTTGCCACGCAGGGAATGGAAACACATCTCCAGCACACAGAGGGTTAATAGCTCTAAATCTAAAGTACTCATCTGCAATCTCAATTTGCTCAGAGTCCAGCAGCTGCATTAGTTGAGATAATTCTGTCAGTGAGTGCTGTTTGTACCCAGAACATGCCTGCTAAATTTGTTAAAGAATACCCCAGACTAACGCATCATTACACTCACAAAGTCATCTATCTTTTACTTCAGATTAATTCTTTTTTTTCTCTCTCTCTTCACCTCCTCCATAAATCCTGGTGCACTTAATTAATTTCAGTTCCAGTGTAAGGTCCATAATACAGAATTGTTCAAGCAAACACAAAATTAATTATTCTATTTACAGCCTTCTCATTGAAAGGAGCATTTCATCTTTCATAATTACATTTTGGAACGTCCAATTATGAATTCAGACTTCTGCTGTTTTGCATACTGTGATTGTGTGCAAGTGTCTCCATGCCAATGAGAACCAGGATTTGGGTATCACATCTCCTTCCAATTAGACTAAATTCAAGTACAGTTCCAGTCTGAAAAACCTTTTCAAGAGGTGACAGAAGGAGAGGGTGGGAGATGGTTAAAGAATCAGGTTAAAAAATGCCTCTATGAATGCACATTATCATTTCTTCTCAGCCACAGCACAAGGCTGCTGTAGCTGGTTCAGTAACCCTACCAGCTGCTACAGGCTTAATTCTACAACCAAAAGACTTTATCAAGCTCTTTTTCAGATAATGGAAAAAGTCTTTGGCTTTTATGGCTTTAAAAAGAGCTTTTGAACTCATGCACAAGTTGATGTATATTATACCCTTGATTTGTGTTAATTATATCAATTTTTAATGCCTTCCATCACAGTAGCTGTTTTCCTCAGAGCTGATTTGTAAGTGAAATCTGAAACTGCAAAGGTTTCCTGCTTGCTGCAAACCTGAGGCAGGTTCAAGGAAGGTGCCTTGTGTTTTTTGGGAATTCTGGCCTCGACCCATGAAGCAGGGGAAGAAAACCTGGGCTCTGCAGTTCTGGGTTTTGCCTGTCCACAATTCCTCCTGGAACTGAGGTCTGTGATGGGTGTTTGGCTCCTTTCAGAGCTGCAATGCCATGGCAGGTGGGGAGCTGTAGGAAAGTCTTGACCTGAGTCCTCACCCTCCAGCAGCTGGGGGGGCTCAGGAGACCTGGGCTGGAGTCCCAGCTTTGTCACAGGTGCTGTGGGTGACCCTGAGCTGGGCTTTCAGGCCGGACCTGTGGGCTGCAGGTGGGAGCTGTGAGCTGGGTAAGGCTGTTGGAGGTTGCTGGATGGACAAGGGGAGCACAGCTGCTCCTGTCATCCCAGCACACAATTCTACTGTGACAGTCAGCTTGGCTGCACAGGGGCATGGCTGCAGCTCCTCTTTCTCTAATGCCTGGAGCTCCTGACCTCCAAAAAGCTCCCAGAGCTGCCCTTGCACTCAGGAGGGAGCAGGAGCTGGATTGACATCTGGATGAAGAGGTGACCCAGGCAATCCAAGGCTTTTTATGTGTTCCCTCTTTTCATACTTGAGAAACAGCCACAGTTGATCCGATATGTTAGGTTTGAAAATTCCTACCCAGTACAGGTTGAAATGAGCTGATATAAGAGCTGTAAAATAGCTCTAGAGTCCGCCTGTCAAGTTTGATCATGCCCTGAAAAGCCAAAATGTGCCCATCTCCTTTAGAAACACAAATAAATTGCTTTAGCCTTATCTAGAGTTTTCCAGTGACTGCTGTTCTAATGGGATGAAGCACGGTAATCAACTTTATAGAGCATATTTCCATGGCACACCCGTTATGTCATGCCTTGTTTACACAATTGGAATTATGGATTAAGAGGTACACATACTGGGCAGGGGGCCAAAAATACTTTTACAGCCCTGATTTACTGGTGAGCCCATGCAGGACTTGGGAACTGTGCGTGCATTGGCTGCAGTTGGAGTGTGACTGGGGTTGGAGTGCAGGACTTAGCCGAGTGCAGGGTCACATCACAGGGGCTGGAAAGAAACCTGTGGGCCAGGCAGGTGGGCACTGAGTGTCACCACAGGAGCCCTGGCAGGGTGGGTGGCTGGGACTGCTGCTGCACTGGTGTCTGTCCCCTTCCAAACACATCTTCAGGTGCTGACCTGGTACCTGGGAGTTAAAAAGCCCTGGCACAGAGCCTGGGCAGTTGGTGGGAAATACATGAATAGTAATTCAGGAAAAACAGAGTTTAACCTGTCATGGTGTGCAGCTGACAGCAGGGCTGAGGAACCTGTGTCCGTGGGCACTGCCAAGTCCTGGCAGTTTCCAACAGAAACACAACACCTGCAAAGAAAACTCAGACTTGAGAGCAAAGTAAATTTTTCATAGAGTTATCTTTTTTATTATCCCAGAATCAGAGTCACAGAATTATTTGTGTTGGAAGGAACCTTAAAGATCATCTTGTTCCAATCCCTTGCCATGGCAGGGACACCTTCTGGAACAGGTTGCTCCATGTCCTGTCCAACCTGGCCTTGAACACTTCTAGGGATGGGGCAAGGAACATCACTGTACTAATCAGAATGATGTTCCCTGCCTAACAATGTAGAGTCCTAGAAACAGAAAAAGTTTTTATTCTTAAATATAATTAATGTGTCATTTATGGCCAGAGAGCAGGACAGGTGGACCCTGCTCTTTGCCCACTTGCAGAACTCTCCCTGCAGAGGAGCCATCCCTGCCCTGCTGGGATGAACCAGGGCTGGTGCTCTTTACACTCACATGGCCAAACCCAGGGAGGGGGCTGAGAGCAGAAGCACACTGACAGCTCTGAGGCCAGCGCCATCCAGCAGACAAAGTGCTTCAGATTCACAGCAAATGGGACAAGGAGAGGCAGGGGGATGGATGTGGACGCTTCCCCAGTGCCCATCTCAGAGGAGGATGCAGAGGGAGCAGGGGGACTGAGTCCTATTGCAGAGCCAGCCTGCTTCTCTGGGCTCCAGTGATGGGATAGGCACTGATTTACCCTGCAAGGACACCCATGTGCACCAAGCTCGTGTCTCAGGCAGCCAAACCCCATGAGCTGAACCTCAGCTGGAGCTCAAGCACATCTTCACTCGAGTTGGGAACAGTGGAGATATTTTTTTCCCCTCCACAGATGCTGTTGTTAATTTGTTAGCCATGTACAAGTGTGAGGTTTGCTGGAGGAAACCAATTTGTGCAGTTTTTAGCTCGTTCAGTGGTGAGGTCTGCTTTATCTCTCGTGGGAGCAATTTCACGGCTTACAAAAAGACATAAATAATCTGTTTTAAAAGTTGTTGGAAGGACAGTGGATTTACGGTCTTATTGTCAGAAGGGAATTATAATGACCCTCTGGTCCAGCCCCTGGCCTACCATAAGCAATTCCTGACTCAGAGCCCACATCTTGCACTTGAACTGGAGCTGGTTTATTTTATTTTTATAAACAAATCCAACACTGGCAGGAGGGCTTTATTCAAAACCAAAATATTTTTCTCACTGTCCTTAGCTGGCAGGAGTTAATTGTTCCCTTTGTGAGCTGTGAATGGGTTTGTGCTGTTCCACCTGGCATCGCTGCTTTTGTTTGTTAATTAGGTATTAATTGCAGAGGCTGTTGGGGATTTGTAGGTGAAAAGAGCATGTGTTTATTGGTCCTGCATGGAAGGGGCTGAAATGAATTGAGTTTGGTAACAACAGACCTTGTAACATCCCTAATATATATTTTCCAGGGGGTGTTATGGTCTGATGTTCAGTGAGGCACGGAGAGGTGAGGGAAAGTTTTTGGTTATTGATTCTCTGAATGTTGCAGCTCAGATCGTGCATTGCTGGTTAATGAAATACAGTGGTGAGGAAAGGAGAGAGGCAGAGGGCTGGTTTTTGAAATATCAAAGTTGCTATAAAATATAAAGTGAAATTGTGGAAGGTGGGTTAACAATGAACCAGCTCCTCATTTTACAAGTTTCATGACAAAGCTAGGAAAAACCATGTAAAACTGATCCTTGGAGGAACTGGCATTGTTATAGGCTGCTAAAAGCTGTTGGAGAATTGAGATGGATTGCCAGAGATTTTATACCTTTTGAAATAGAAATTACAGAATAAAATTTTCTATATGGAAAAAAAAGAACAAGAAAACTGGAACTGAGGAAACAATACTGAGGAGGGCAAGACACTTTAGGTATATAAAGGATTATTTTGATGTTCTTTCCCAAAACCTTTCAGGAAATCAAAATATTGAGGTATAATTATTTCAATACCTTCTGATTGAAGAATATATTAAAAACATAAAAAGAGAAAGCTGCAGTAAATGGATATACCTGAGGTAACTGCTTGACCTACAGGCTACAAGGCAAAGGTTGTTACTGAGAAACTCCTTAGGGGAACGAGAAAATAAAAATATTCACTTTTCCACAGCAGACTCATCACAATCTCCAAGGTGTCAGATATGGCAGGAAGGGATGGTGTGGGGCTGCAGACCCCTTCATCTGCCTTTCTCCTTGAGAGCTGGGTTTGCCAACACTGTCTGCTGTGGCCATTCTGAGAGTGCCTAAAAATTCAATTTCCAGAATGATGAAGAGTGCAAAAGAATGTGGAAAATGAGGTGGGGAAGAGATTTTCAGTGGAGAGCTGCACAATTTCCTGTTTAATACAGTATTTTAAAGCCTCTGTTCTTTTGTTGTGCTGCCAATGATGTCTCAGAATCCAAAAACCTTACATGTATTTTTAAAATGATTTTAAGTCAGTTAAATAAATGTATAACTCCTGATAAGGCAGCTCATGCAGAACCATGCTGTATTTCTTCAGCAATCTTGTTGAACCAATATTTTTCTCTACAAAACTCAGGCTCTAACCTCCCTTGCTGACCCTTGTGCTTACCTGTGCTGTCCTATCAACCTTCTGGATCAGGACAATGTGCTTTTCCTACCCTCAGTACCTCTATTTACCCTGTTTTTCCGAGGTTATCAGGGGATTACTCAGTATCTATCATCTATACAAACGTCACAAAGTCATCAGGACAAAGGAAAACGATGGATTCTCTGCGAAAGGAGAAGTATTTTGTAACTTGTATGGGAATTGTGGGTTTTCCACCCTTTGCCATCTATCCCAATGCATAAATCCTGGGCAACAGGCATGTGAGCCCGTGATTTGGAAAACAAAATCAGGGATTGTGGACTGTCATTTGTTCGTTATTTTAAATTAATCCTATGTGATAATTTTTGTGTTTCTTTCACTTCACATCACATGGGCCTGTTCTGCTCATCATCAGCAGCAGCAGCTGGACAAAGCAGTGCATTCCTCTGCTTTGTTTAATGTGTTGCCTTCCCACCCTTCTCTCTGTCTTTCACCTCTGCCTTCAATAGAAGGTTTTACTGTCCTTGAGAGTTTGCTTGTCCTGCCCCCTCCTTCCACACACCCCACAGATTTCTCTGATTACATGCACGAAGAGGGAACGTTCCCATGTTTGTGTGAGCAATGGCATATCCTCTAGACATGCCAGTGGATCACAGACAGTGACAGTTTTAGAAATGTAGATTTTTTTTTTTTAATAATGAAAACCAATTTTTTCTTCTAGAGCAGCGTATTCAAACTGATGGTGTTACAATGGCAATGTGAGTCTAGAAGACTCTGCTCCCTTACCTCATGTCAGCCCATGTGAGACAGCACCAAGGGGTGGTTTGGCCAGCTGAGGATGTGCAGAGTGTCCAGAGAGGTGTTAGACAGGGTGATGATGGTGTGGCCTCCCAGGTGAGGCTGGATCCCAGCAGGCAAATAATCACAGGGCTGCTTTCAAAGTCCTTCGCCCTGCCTTGTTGCTCGTTTTAACCCCTGACAAAGGGTCAGGGCACTGCCCAATGGGTTCTCATTTGTGCCCTGGCTTTCACAGAGAGTTTAATGACCAGCAGGTGATGGTTGTACCTGGGCTGGGAAGGTGCTGCCTTGGACTGTGACGCTCCTGTTGAGATGCATCCACTGATTATGGTGACTATTTTCAGTAGCTTTATTGCATTGATGATAAAACCAGACATCCTTCTTATAAACAACAAGAAACTTTGAACCTTTTAAACACTCCCTGAACTGTGGAGAACTTGTTAAGCTGGATAACCCTCAGTGAGGAAGCAAAGTGCAAAGTGCTGGTAGCCTTGCATTACTCACAGGTCCTTGCAGGTGGCCTCAGAGAATTTTCCTGGTTCACCAGTGACCAGTGAGGGGTGCTCTGAAGGTAGGGGCACCTTCTTCTTTGGCCACAGTGGGAATTTGTTCCTGTTAACCCCAGGAAAACAGGACCTTTGAGTTTGACAACTATTTCTTGCTGATTGTGTGTGATACTGTTTTGTTTCCTGACTCACTTCTCCTTCCCTCTTCTTACCTCCAAGGCTCGAAGTTGATTTCATTCAGCCTTTTCTCTTCTGATGAGAAGTTTTGAGGTCTGTAAGGGTTTTGAGAATATTTCCTCCCCTGTCTGCTCTGTCTTTCTCTTACTCAGTCATTTGGTGGGGATGGAAAGACAGGGAAGCTCTCAAGAAGATGGTGAAAAAGAAAGCTGTGATTGGATTTTTAGTGCAAGCTGGAAGCAAACTCTTGCTCACTCCTCTCCCTTACTCTTCCTCTCCCCAAGATGCTTTTAAAAATGGGAAGGATCTCAAACTGATGTCAGAACAGTTTGTTCTTGAATTACTCTGCAGATTACAGCAGCTGAGCATCACATTCAACACCCAAAAAGGGACAAGAAGCCCACGAACACTTTTTGGGTTTGTGATTTGTCTCATTACTCTTGGGACAAGATTGAAAAATTCTAGCTCTGAGCTGTGTACTGAGTGTGCTGGGCCATGGTTACAGGAATGGGGCAGGAGGTTGTGCTAAAATTATCAGACACAGCAGAGCCCACGGTAGCATCTGCCTCCTACAAACACCCCAGAGTTAATTCAGACTGTCTTGGTATCACAATAGGCTCTAAACTCTACTGACAGTGACCAAAGGAACTTGCTGCAGAAATATGAGAAGGTCTTCAATTTCCATAGACATAAGCAAGGCTATATTTCCTAGGGAAATAATTATTAAATGAATAATTAAGGTATATTTAATAGAAAATGTAAATTATATATTTATTCCAGAATATGTTTTGCTCTGGGAAACAGAAAGGACAAACAAGGAACACTTGTTACTTGTTACCAGAATATCCTTGAGAAGAGGAAGTGTTTCACCAGCCAAGGAGAAAAAGATCTCCATGAAACAACACTTCTTTCCTTTCTCTTCCCTCCAGCCCTATCCAAATACCGTGTGAAAGGCATTTGTCTTGGACTTGGGAGGTTTGCTTGCAAGCAACTGCACTTCTTTTTCTGCAGAGCTTAACTACAAGTTTGCTCCTTGAAACCAGACAAAGTCACTGGCTAGTCAATGCCTGGCTTGAACAGATTAGTTTGAATTCCTGTGTATGTAGTATTTTAAGCTCAGGTATTGGTTTCACTGTATTTCTGTTTGTGATAGCAATGAATTGATTTTTTTACTCTGCTAGTATTTTAAAAGACCCAAAACTCTCCCTTGCTGCCAAACCAGGATGGTTATTAAAGGATTCTAATATTCTTTCCTTTTATTGCCAGAACTGCTTTTAGAATAAACTGACTATGTGAAAAGTAATTCCTTTATGTCCTTAGTCTACACTTCAAGAAATAAAGGAAGAGGAGATTATAAGGTCTTGAACACCCAAAGGAAAGAAAAATTTTAGCAATCTTGTTCTGAAGAAAAACTCTCTTGTCTTATCCAGGTGTAGTCTCAGGCTTTTGGGATCTCAGAGAGCACCTGGTTCCTTGCAGGCTCTCTGTCCATTCTTAGTGTATTTACTGAGAATAAATATAAATGTAATATACTGAGTATAAATAATATTGTTTTTCTGATTCTTAACAGGTATTTTCTGTTGCCATCAAGTTGGTGGAGAAGTCCAACCTGCCAAAGTAGCAAGGAGCTTCTTGTCAGAGGCAAGTCTGACCTTTGGGAGTTGTAAAGGAAGGGAGGACACACTCCTTGGGCTTGTCCTCAGGGCTCAGGGACGGGGCTCTTCTGAGCAGGGTTGGTGGCCAGCCTTTGACAGGCAGTGAAGCTCTTGGCTGTACAGGCAGGGAAGCCCTGAGTCAAAGGAATATTGAATAAAATAAACTTCAAAAGTACCATGGGCAGATGCTTTCAGGGCAGTTTATTTCCCTGCCCTGGGTAGCAGAGTGTGGGTCAGGTAAGTGTCTGCAGTCTGGGCAGGAACAGTGTCAGCTGGATCCAGGGAAAGCCTCAGTGAAATAACGAGCAGAGCTGATCAGTGTGAGCATGTAGCTTTAGTAGGTTGGTTGCTGCTTCTCTTTTCCTTGTGTGCAAGTTTTTAATTACAAACTGGACTTTTCTTTCACCAATCTAAGTGAAGCCACTGTACTCAGGAAGACATAGCAAGTCAGTTTCTTCACGAATAGAGATTTTTATGCCTAAAAGTAAACTCATAAGATTGTACGTGTGAGATGAGAAAGCAGTGCCACTCTTGGGTTCTGGAGCTTGGTTTTTGAAAAGACAGCTGGCCAGTATTTTGTCATCTCTAAATTCTTCCCATCCAGATAACAGGGACAAAAAAGGCAAAAGCAAAGATAAAGTGCTCACAACTCATAGGCTGCTCCCACTGTGCATTTTTCTCCTGTCTTTCCCAGAGGGCTTGAATTTTCTCAGTGACAGCCAGAGCAAGCAGTGCCAAGGAGAGTGAGCAGGACTGGGAGTGCAGCAGGGTCTACTTGTCACTCCTGAGGTAGACTCATTTCAGGGAGCAGGCTGAGAAAGTTTTGCCTGATTTAGGTGGTCAAGAGAAATCTGGCTTAGCTTTGCAAGGCAGAAAAAGGGGATGCATTTCCCAGCATCAGGTTATGCAAACCACTGAGGTGGAGGTGGGAGGGGCAGGCTGCCTGCGAGTCATTCTGTATCTGCATGAAAATGGAATTCAAAACATTCCCTCTAGAGTGGTATCCAATACCAAAATTGGATTTGGGAACTCAGAGTACATGAATATTTGTGCTGTCAATAAGAGTTATCTGTATACAGAACCCTTTCCTTGTCTGCTTTCTCTACCATGCTTCCTTCTTAATTCATTTTCAGTCTTTAATGTACTGTTGTGTAGCATCCTCTCCCATTAGGCCCTGTAATGTGCTCCGATTGCCTTCAGCTTGACTGCACTTAATAGCCAGCGTAAATAGAACTTAGTGTAGCATGCACTAACATCTCTATCCATTGTCCAGAGATTAAATACATGCCACAAATGGTTTACGCATCATCAGCCTCGAGCCCTCGTTTCATAGCTCCCAACCAAAAGAGGATATTAAATTAATTTGCAGGTTGCTTTAGCAAGGCCTAACAAAAAGGGGGGGGGGGGGAAATCCTGAGGGTCACTCTGCATGTAATATCCATCAATCAAAAAAGAGGGGTGGAAAATGATAATAGCAGGTCATTATAAGGGGACAGGTGCACACATATTTAGCTCTATGTCTAGTTCAGGTCAAAGCTTAATGGTGTTAACGGGGAGGAATGCAGGCTATGTGAGCAGTGTGGATGTGTGAGGAAGAGGCAAAAGGGCAGCTCTGTGACAGGACAGCACTGCCTCTTCCAGATCTTCATGCTTAACCCTTTACTCTGCCTGGGCAAGAGCTGCTGAGTAACACTGAGCTTCTGAGAGGAAGGAAAGGAGCAAAGCAGACATCTCCAAGTCTTGTCCTGCAGCAGCTTGTAGCACTCAAAGTCAGCAAGGAGGCAGGACTGGGTTAGGGCAGTGAAAATGAAATTGCACAGTGCCAGGGTTCAGACTGCCAGGGCCTGGGTGTACTGTTATCATGGACAGGGGTTCAGTCAAGCAGCAGGAAATGCAAATGCTGCTCATGGAAAGGCAGGAAGGAGATCTGTGCTCAGCAGGGAACATGGGCTAAGGAGATGGACAGTGATCTTCACAAGAGCCAGTGCTGAGAGAACTGGAAAAACAATGGCAAGGCCACATCTCATCTATAAAACAAGTGCTGTGACTAAAGTATGTAGATATGTATTTAAAGTGAAAAGATTGAGAGGATAGGATTGAGTCCTTGACTAATTATTAAGAAGGAAGGTGCTACATGAATGTGGGCTGCACACAGACACTGTGTGCCAGTCCTACTTGTCCATCTGTATTTTTAGCTCAGTGATTGGGACAGACATGGAAAATGAGAAAGCTTCAGTCACATTCGTGGCTTCCAATAAACAACTGGGAAGACACACTCTAGGTTTAAAGGACCAAGCTGAAAATTAGGCTACTTGTGTTGTGGCTGTGGCAACTAAGGTCACCTACTAAGCAAATCTTTTCTCTTTATTTTAAGTTTGATAGCAGTCCACAGAGGTGAAGGAAGATATCAGTTATTATCACCGTGTTTTGGATGCCAGCATCAGGGTTTTGCAAGGTCTTGTTGATGAATAATAAATCACTGCATCACTTCTGGAGTGATGTGGCTCAGTGCCACGTTCCCTTGCTTTCTGTGTTTTCAGGTGCTGCATTCTGTAGTCTTCATGAGGAAATGATCCCAGTCCTCCCCCAAGCCCACAATAACACACTTTGACTGACATGGATCATTTTTCTGAGGCTCACATTAAGTACCATCCATACCCTGAGAAATGATATACTGGGAACTAGAATAATTAAGTAAGCAAATACCCTTTACCACAAGAGTTAAATGCCCAAGGACTGCTGTCACAGAAATCATGAACTTACAGTCTGTCAGCTGATATTTTAAATGCTGTTAT